TATGCTCCTGGAAAGAGTTACCGTCTGGGAAACCCACAGGGGCAGTTCTGCTCTGTCCTTCAGGGTCTCTATGAGTCGGAATCAACTTGATGACCATGAGTTTGGCTTTGGGTTGATGGCTTGCTGATGGGGAGGTTTCAGGCAGCTTGGGGTGGGGGACGGGACGGGGACAGAGAGTGGCAGCGTCTGATCCTGGGGGTCAGCTAAGAGATTTGACTGCTGTGACCCAGATTCCCCCCACCAGTTTGCTAGACAGTTGGGAAGACAGTGGGTCCCCTCGCTCAGATGCAGACTTAGCGAGCTGGTCCTTCCCTGGAAGCAAATGCCTGTCTCTCCATCAAGGGACTTGATGGAATGGATTGGATGCCTGGGGAGCCAACAGTGAGTGAGAAAGGAAACACTCATGTGTGTGTGTGTGTGTGTAAAGAGGAGATGGGTGGGAGGGCTCCGTACCAAGCCGTGTTCTGAGAACTACCTCAAGCCACAAAGTAAACAGGGGAAGCTCTCTCTGGCTGCAATGTAAGACGGTGTAGTAGAAACACAAGCAGCAGGGTCAGAGGCAAACATTCTCATGGAATTTTCCAGCCGAACTGGAGGTTTCAAGAAACATGGCCAGTGTTCCCAGATGCCTTCGAGGAGCATTGATCTCGTGACCAGTGGGTTCTAGATGCAGTGCTCTGGACAGGGAAGCTGGCTGCCTTCCACCTTACACCCACCCCAGGGCCTCAGACTCAGTGGATTGGAGAGAGGGTGTGTGTGTGTGTGTGTGTGTGTGAGAGAGAGAGAGAGAGAAAACGCCTGCACTTTGGACATGTTTTCAGAAGCGACTGGACCCCTAGAGAAAGACGTCATGGGTTGACACAGTGGTTGGAGCGTGACAATGACTGTGAGGGTGGCCCGGGGCCAGGCGGGCCTCTGTTCTGCTGTTCATAAGGGTCGATAGGAGTCGGAACAGATTTGGCGGCACCCAGCAGCAGCACGCATGTCTATTTTTATCATTTCCATTGCCCTGTAGTTTGCCTACGCTGACATGCGTGCTGTGCCTACGTCCTCCGTTTACAGCTCAATTGATCTTGATGAACAGTGTACCCTAGCCTGCAGCACACACTCTGATCAGGATCGCTTTTGTCGTCCCCCTCCCTGCCAGGACACACTTCTCCCTCGTGCCGCCTCTTCCTCTGTCCTCCTGGAAGCAGCCCCTGTTCTGCTTTCTGCCACCGCTGACCCACGGTGCCTGCCCTGGAGCCGCACAGAGAGGCTGATGAGTCGGACCCAGGGCCACACAGCAAGCAACCAGCAGAGCCTGGATTGGAACCAAACTGTCTTGTGTCAGAGCTCGGGCCCCTGTCTACCAGGCTGGATTTTGAACTTGTACACAAGGAGGCCTGGTGGTGTGAAGGTTCAGTGCCCCGTGACCTAACAAAGGCTCCTCAGTTGGTACCCACCCAAGGGGTCCCTGGAGAAAAGGCCTGGCACTCTGTCCCCGAGGATGACGACCACAGGGGCCCTACGGGCAGGGCACTCTGCCCAGGGGCCCGCTATGACAGCTGGCCCGGGGACACGCCATCGTAACCTGTACGTTATTGTGCATGATCACTGGTACACTCCCCTACGGAGTCCGAATCTGGCATCCCCTTGCCCTTCTCAGGGGAGCGTCACCGAGACCCCGCGGCGGTGGTCTGTGCTTGGCCTCGTCCACATTCTTCATGCTCAACCCTCCCTGCTCTGCCCTCTCCCTTACTTTTATAAGTCCACGTGGTAGAGTCCACCACCACCTACCCGTCTGTGAGATCGGTGTCCTGTGGCGGCACATGTGTGGCTGTGAGGTTGGGGGCTCTGCCTCTAAGTCAACAGTCCCTGTGCAAACAGGGGTCCCTGTGGGAGGACGGGCTTCGGCAGAACTTCCAGACTGAGATAGACTTGGAAGAAAGGCCTGGCAGTCTACTGAAAACAAGCCAAGGAGAACACCCTTGGACCCACAGCATTTCACCCATCGGCCCTCGTGCTGGGAGCCGAGTCCCCTGGGTTGGAAGATGTGGCACAGAAGCCGCAGCCTCGGGCTCCCATGAACCAGGCCATGTGTCCTCCTGTACCACATGAGGCCACGGGTGTCACTGGGGGCTGGGCGACACCCCGACAATGTCATAAGGGGCAATGCCACCTGTCCCCTTCACCCCTGTCCTGTCCAGGCACAGTGAGGCTGCCCCGAGAGGGACACCCCAGTGTGAGAACCCAGACGAGCAGATGGCCTTCAGGTGAAAAATTAATCCCAGCATGAAAGCGGTCGCCCAGCGGCTCTGGCGAGGTGAAGCATTTGTTGACAGATCATTAACGGCGGGATTAATTTCTGTTTTTCCAATCCCAGCCGGGAAGGGGAGTGCAGCATCTACCTGGCTCGTTGCTGCGGGCCTCACTCTGAACCTGGGACCTGGGCTGGAGGAGGATTCGGTAAATATTTGCACATGGAATGAAGGGCCAGTTCTCCCCCTGCCCCCCTGCCATCTGCCTCCTCCTGGGGCACCAGGAGGCCGAGCTGTAGCCCCTGTGCTGTTCTGTGTCAGGAGATGCCATCCAGCGAAGTGGAGGATGTGGCAGAAGTGAGCAAACCCTCACTGAACTGGCCAGGCCACTTGGTGAGGGTGGGAGGTTGTCCAAGAACTCACTCGTGGTTTTCCCACCCACCTGGACAGGTCATGCTGGGCACAGGTGCACTCTTAGCTGCTTGGGAGTCCCTTCTGCAGGGCTTCTGAGACAGTAAATCCCCACGAGAGCAGACCGCCTCGTCTTTCTCCTGGGGAGTGGCTAGTGGGTTTGAACCGCTGACCTTGTGGTGAGCAGCCCATGGCCCCTCGTCCATACCAAGCATGTTGTCCTCCTCCAGCAATGAACCCCTCCTGGTGAAGTCCCTGAGGGAGCCAGGCAGTGTTCTGTTAGGATCCATAAAGTGTTCCTTGACTGCGTCCCAGAAGTAGCTCACCAGTCTGCCTCATCTGGAAGCTCCACCGCAACATGTCCACGGGCAGGACACAGACAGCACGGCTTCCCGCCTCTCAGCAAAATGCAAACCACTGCCATGTTGGGACCGACTGACCGATTGCTAGGAGTGGGAGGCCAAGCAGGCAACCCCACTTGTTGATAACCTGCCCCTAGGGGACAGCTTCCCTTATGCACCCTGCCCCCTTGCCCACCTCCCCATCCCCAGGTCCTCTTCCCTGAGCTCCAGGGTCATTTATCAGAGAACCCAGCATTCCAAATCCTCCATGCAGGTGGGAGGCTTGAGCCCAGGTCTTCTGGTAGCATCTGTCCCCCACCCCACCCCCACCCCGGTTGCTCCACTCCCCCTCCATTCTCATCCTCCACCTGTTAGTCTCTGCGAACCTCCCACCCTCCCACCTGCCTCTGCACCCACGCTTGTCTCTTCTGCTGCCTGGGCGCGCAGGTGTAAGGACCTAGATGCATTTGAAAGATGTGTGCAGCCAGGTTGTGGAAAGGGGCTCAATAAGACGGACCTAGAGCGTGCGATTGGTCATCCACCGCGGCTTGCACTACTTGATGAGGCTCGTGTGCAGTTGTCAGGCCCCACGGTCGGCCTGGTCGGGGTGATACATCGTTCCCCACGGCAGGCAGCCACGGGAGGCCCAACATCTTAGTGAGAGACCGTAAGAAGAAACTACAGATAATTAAAGCTACCCGTCAGTGCAGACAGATGCCTTTGGTGAGGAGATGCAGAGAGGTCTGGGGCGGGCAATGGCACTCCATCCAAGGCAGTTTCTGGATCTCCTTGGCTGCTTGCTATGCATATAGGACCTCTGTTTGGGGATTGTGTTAGTCTGGGTGGACTAGAGAAACAAATCCACAGAAACTCATCTGTATATAAGAGAGAGTTTTATATAAAGGGCAAGTGTACGTTAAGAAAGCATCCCAACCCAGTGCTGTCCAAGCTTATAAGTCCAACATTAACCTATGTGTCCGACACTGATCTACAAAGTCCTCCTTTATCTCACAAAACACACTATGACGCCGACTGCAGGAGGAAAGCCGAATCAGTGAATGTATAAGCATCTCAGCCCTGGTAGGGGTCTCCACACGGCTGCTCCAGCACCCAGGGCTGCATCGGGGTAGGTCCATGTGGCTTCTTCTCAGGGATGTCTTGCAGGAAGTGAGCCTTGCCAGCTGAAGCAGGGAACTGGCTAAGGCAGCTGCACCCTGGTCTGACCATCAGACAGCAAGGGACCCGAGAACTAGAAAGGTGAGGCTCACGGAGCCATTTATCCCTCCACCCTTCAGTGAACCCCACATGTGTTTATCAGCCAGGTTGGCACAATAAGCCTTCACTGTCTCGATGCTCCTGGCTTCCAGGAACAAACCACCTCCTTCAGATGGGCTCACCCAGTAAGTTCAGGGCTGCTCCTGTGACTGCATGCAGAGCGAGGGGCGGATTCGGGTGGACTGGGTGCTTTCACATTCTCACCAGGGACGCGGGCTCCGCTGCCTCTGCTCCGATGTCCACTAGACATACTTCCTGTCTGGAAGAGTGGAGAACCTCTTCCTACGATGGGATGCAGGTCTTCCGTTCTAAGTTGGCTTCTCCGGGATAGGGACTGAGCCCTGTGGCAGAAGGGATGGGTGCTGGGAGGGGTGGATGGAGGAAGAGAGGAGAAGATGAGTCTCTGAAGAGACGGGCAGAGGAAGCAGAGATGGCAGCAAGGCTGGAGGGAGGCAGGGGTGGTGATGGGGTGGGTAAAGAGAGGGAGGGGTGCCTGGAGACATGGATAAAGCAAGGAGACATAAACAAAGGAGGGATGACTGAGTGGGCTGGACATCTTGGTGGCCATGGTGTGACTCCCGATGTTACAGAAGCTGGTGGCCCGGAGATGGCTTTTGGCTGTGTCTCTCCCAGTAGCCTCCCAGGAGAGGCCAAACCGTCACATCTCCCTTCGGTGGGGGAAACGCAGGCAGGGGGCCTCTTGGGGACTGATCACAATGATTTGGGTTTTCAGTTCAATGTGAAGAAATCCACAGAACCTGTCCAGCCCCGAAGCCTGCTCAAGTTCCCAGACATCTACGGACCCAAGCCGACTGTGACCGCCCCGGAGATCATCAACTACGCAGACTACACCCTGAGGACCACGGAGGAGGCGCCGGCACCACCCAGCCCCCAGGCTCCCAATGACAGTCGCCTCAAGAGGCAGGTCACGGAGGAGCTGTTCATCCTCCCCCAGAATGGTAGGGGTCTTCTGCAACTTCCTTCTTGCGGGGTGGGCCCCTTGGTCCCTTCCAAGGTTGGACCATCTCAGAGTCAACTGGATGCTATTGACTGGCACCCCCACCTAGCTACGACCTCCTGGCATGGAGGCAGTGCAGCCCAGTGGTGTCAGACCAAGTGGGGGTTGGTCTGGATGTGGACGGCTGAGGCCGGCTGAGAGCTGAGGGTGCTGGGAGCCAGGAAGCCCCTTCCACTTCTGATGCTGATGTGGTGGCCCTCTTGAGGTCTCTCCGCGTATCCCAGAGACCCTGTGGGCTCCTGTCCCCATTCTCTCGTGGATCACACCCCAGACGGACGGCCTGCTTCTTGCTTCCCTGCACAGAGAAGTCTTTCACCACGTGCTCTTGTTGGCTGCTTTCGAATTCGTTCTGACTGGCAGCAACTTTGTGTTTGTAGCCTAGACCTGTGCTCCGAGGCTTTTCGAGACGGTGGGCTGTCTTCTGAGGCACCTCTGGGTGGGTCCAAACGGTCAGCCTTTCAGTGAGTGGTCAAACCCTTAACTGTTTGTGCCACAGAGTGGGGGTGGGGGTGGGGGTGTCAGAATTGACCCAACAGCCAGCGAGTTTGATTTGGACCCGAGTCCTTTATATTTCTGCCCTCTCACGTCATTCTGGACATCAGCAAGATTTAAATGGCAGGGGCATCTGCTGTGGCTCCTGGATCACTTAGTTATCGAATTATGTTTGCCTCACGAGAACCTTCCGGATACTAGATTCCGGTTCAAGTGACAAGTAGAATGAGCAATATGTGTGGATGTTGTTGTTGATGTTCGGTGCCTCTAAGTCGGTTCTGACCCACAGCGAGCCTGTGCACAGCAGAAGGAAACGCTGCCCGGTCCGTCCTGCGCCCCCCTCACAATCGGTCTCGTGTGTGAGCCCATTGTTACGGCTTCCGTGTCACTCCATCTTATTGAAAGTCTTACTCTTTCTTCATTGGCCCGCTACTTTATGAAGCATGATGTCCATCTTCAGGGACTGGTCTGTCCTGACCACATGCCCAATGTGCATGAGATGAAGTCTCGCCACCTTTGTTCCTAACGAGTATTCTGACTGTACATCTGCCAAGACCGACTGGTTTGTCATTCTTCTTAAAGTCCATGGTATCTCCAATAGTCTTCGCCAGCACCATCAGTCAAATCCATAGATTCTCCTTCGGTCTTCCTTATTCGGTGTCCAACCTTCACATGCACAGGAGGTGATTGAGAACACCATGGCTTGGGTCAGGCTCACCTTCGTCCTCAAAGAAGCGTCCTTGCTTTTTGGCACCTTAACGAGGTCTTGTGCAGCAGATTTCCCCAAAGCAATGCACCATTAGCTCTCTTGACTGCAGCTTCCACGAGCATAGATTGTGGATCCAAGGGAAACGAAGGTCTTGACAACTTCCACCTTTTCTCCATTGATCGTGATGATGTTACCCATTGGCCCTGTGATGAGGACCTGGGTTTTCTTGCCATTGAGTTTGTTGCAGTCCCTACGGAAGGCTGCTTGACCTTGAGCCTTGATCTTATCAGCAAGTGTTCCGTGTCCGCCTCACGTTCAGCAAGCAAGGTTGTGGCATGGCCATATCAAAGGTTGTTAATAAGCCTTCCTCCAATCCTGATGCTACATTTTCTTCCTATACTCCAACTTCTCTGGTGATTTGCTCAGCAGACAGAGTGAATAAGTGTGGCGAGAGGATCCAAACCGGCACACACTTTTCCTGGTTTTAAATCGTGCAGGATTCCCACGTTCTGTTGCACAACTGCCTCTTGATCCGTGTGCGAGTTCTACAAGAGCACAGTGTTTCCTGGGATTCCTGTTCTTCTCAAGGTTATCCATACTTTATTATGGTCCACACAATCAAATGTCTTAGCATAGTTAACCAAACACAAGTAAACATCTTTCTGGTAGTCTCTGCCTTCAGCCAAGATTCAGCTGACATCAGCAATGATATCCCTTGTTTCACATCCTCTTCTGAATCTGGTGGAACTTCCACATTAAAGATAAAGTCACCATTCACTTGGCACGTATTTATTGAACAAGCAGTAAAGTCAATTCCACTAGCCGTGACCTTGCCCCCAGTATCTACGCCTGACTCATTCTGCAACATTCACCTCTAACCGCCGATTCCTGAGGAGCTGGAACGGTGCCATGTGGGAGAGGTGGGGCCAGAGATTGGCCAGGCAGAGTTTGCCTGCAGTGGGGTGACCAGAATCACCCAGGTCTTGAAGTTTCTGATCCTGTGCCCCAGTGCTGTTCTGACACAGATACCACCAGGGGGTGGCTTTAAGGAGCAGGACTTTACTTTCTCACAGTTTGGGAGGCTGACAGTCTCAGGCCGGCCATCCTTTCCTTCTCCGTCGTTCTTGGTGTTCCTTGACTTGTGAACCATCCTCTCCTGGTGTCTGTCTTCCTTGGGTGTGTGTCTCCGTGTCTCCTCTGGGTGTTTTTTGTTTTTAAATGACTCAGAAGCAAGTTGGCTTGCGGTGTACCCTATAATGGTATGATGTATTATCTTTAAGGGACTGCTTGACTAGGTTACAGTAGATTGCATTATGGAAAGTGATTGGGTGCCTTACGTGGTGTTAAAAGGATGATGACCTGATACCAGACGTGAGGTCATTGCATTACATTACATAGTTGGCAGGGAATCTGCTCTTCTCAAAGCCAATGGATTGACTCGTGTACAACTCCATGACAGCAACTAGACGAGCATTTGGCCATCCCCCTGAGAACCACAGGCTAGTCAAGTGAACGCAGACTTGTAATCATCAGCAATTCCCTTACGGGGAACGCTCATCAGGGGCCCGGCTCTGGGCTAAGTATTTTCCCTACTTAATTCTGTCGGTGACCACAGGAAGGAGAAATCACTATGAGCCCCGTTGAATAGATGAGGCTCAAAGGAGTTAAATAGCGTGTCCCAGGCCACCCGACTATTCTGCATCTGCTCATGTCTGACACCAAAGGCCATGTCTTGACCACCAGATTACAGTGGTTCCAAGTGGCACTGGCCGGGGGGGAGCACGTGTCCACCACGGCTTTTCCCCCAATCCCGGAAGCTCTGGGCTTGGATTTGTGGCACAGGGGGCAGAGAGGGGAATGGTGTGATCAGGGGAAACAGGACCCCAGCACCCCAATGTGTGGCCCTTTTGATAAGACCACTTTGCTTACCAACAGGCGTGGTGGAGGATGTCTGCGTCATTGAGACCTGGAACCCAGAGAAGGCTGCCAGCTGGAACCAGGCCCCCAAACTCCACTACTGCCTGGACTATGACCGGCAGAAGGCGGAACTGTTTGTGACTCGTCTGGAAGGTACCGCTCCGTTCTGATGTTCGTGGGCCATATGCGTCCCTCTCCCCTTGACCCAAACCACCCCAGCTCATCAGTGCTAGAACTGGTTCCTCTGAAGCTCCTTGGCGAGTTCTCTTGAGTGGGACACGTGTGGCCTCGGCTCTTCCCCTTCTCTCCTTGGGAAACTCCCTGGAGGAGCTAGTCACAAAAGCACCGAAGGACAGACGTGCTGATCCGTCCACATGGCGACTTGTTAGCCATGCTCAGGTTCAGGGCACACAGCCACATCCACGGGCAGCAGCCACGTGGTTCGCTTCCCTGTGGTGGCATAGTGAACACTTAAAGTGCCAGCAACAGGCGAGTCAATTCTGACTCACGTCGACACCCCCACCCCCGCCCCCCTGCATGCTAGAGCCTAGCCCCAGTTTCCAAGGCTGAGACCCATTGTCTGAGGGGCTTCGAGGTGGGTTCAAACCTTCACATAGTAGCTGAGCACTGGACTCTGCCCCACCCAGGGCCTCTTGTGCAGAACGAACGCGTTGGCGTATCAATGACAACAATACCCAGAGTGGCCAGCAGTTTGAGGCCACCTCAGAATCGTGAGGCTGGAAGGGCTCCAGGAGGCACCAAGTCTCATTTTTATTCTCTAAGGGAGCCAAGTGTGTGCTGACCTTGGCCTATGTAGCAGCCCCTAGGTCAAAATGTCTTGCTGAAGGGTGAGCCCGTTGACCTCTGGGGCAGCTGACACTGCTCCACGGGAGAGCTGACATTGTCCGTGGGGATTGACATTGGCCCATGGGCGAGCTGACATTGTCTGTGGGGATTGACAGTGGCCCACGGGGGAGCTGACGTTGTCTGTGGGGATTGACAGTGGCCCGTGGGAGAGCTGACATTGTCTGTGGGGATTGACATTGGCCCATGGGGGAGCTGATATTGTCCATGGGGTAGCTGATATTGTCTTGGGGATTGACAGTGGCCCACGGGGGAGCTGACGTTGTCTGTGGGGATTGACAGTGGCTCGTGGGGGAGCTGACATTGTGGGG